AGCATATTCACTAAGCATTTCTAAGGAATGGTTACCGAAGGAAGAATCATGAAGAAGAATTTTTGCACTCCAGCTCAAACTTAAAGAAGGCTAGTTTATACGAACCAATGGCAATTTTACCGTTCATACCCTAGGTATCTCAACGCATCACGAAGTACTTCAGTGATATGGGGATTAGGACCTACAATAAGACTGGCTGAACATTGGGTGACATTTTATTTAAAAAGTACATGCACATTAATAACCCTGAAAAAGTGTTAAATGTTGTCTACGAAGTTCAGTACAGAGACTGTGAGAAGGTGTACACAGGAAAGACCAACCGGAAATTGACCATTCGAGCATCTTGTAGCGGTCCGCCTTGGACAAACCGACAGTTCCGGTATTGTACTGCCCAGCATGCGACTACTGAAGGGCATTCGTTCAGTCAGACTAACGAGTCTGTTACAGACAAAAACGTCTAAATTAGGACTGCTGATAAAGGAGTCCCTGAACATACTGGCGATGAAAAACCGGATGTGCAAGAACACATCTTCTGTTATCATCAATGAAAGCTGGGGCGCAATCATAAAATCTGGTCAAAATGACAAAGATCCGATTTATTTTGATGTGAACATTATGGTATATTCAGACAGGTTAACAAGGTTTTGATTATAAACGACGAGCCAATAAGAAAATTGGTATTGTTCGCTTGTTGGACATAAACAGGTTCAAGCAGCCATTTGTACCCAGCCCTGATAACGCTACGGTCAATGCAGTGAAACGCGTTGGCACATAACTGTTTACCGTCTGCTGTATATGATGCCCCGATTCATGAATCATTCAAACAACTATGTACATACAAATCTTTACCACTATGCATATGAAAAAATATCATACGCACTGAAAGGAGACCAATTAAGAAGTGATATGATTGTCTGATTTGCTTATATATTGAAGGAAATAGCCTTCATCGCAGGAGCTTGATTTCAAATGGCGGACAAGTTATAGAGATCGACAAAAAGTTGATCGACAGAAAACACCGCAGTAAACTTCGACCGTCTTAGCCACCTTCAGCAGCACGACCTGCTTCGAATCATGTGAGAAAATAACGCGTCAGTTCAAAAGCTATTTTGCTGAGCAATTGTAAATGGCTAAGGTCTAAAACGGAAACTTACATCACCGCAAAAAGGACAGCTCTTATTGAACAAGAAAGACATCTACTAGAAGAAGCACTAACTCATAAAGCGCTAAAGGTATCTATAAATGTAGCTCACGGAATAAAGCCCTCATCTGAACAGAAACGGCTGCGCCCATTTGATGAACCGTTCGCCTGCTTGCTGCCGCCGTTGATCTCGCTCTCTTGCATTATATGCACGAGAAGCTGCCAAACCCATGCAGACCATCAGCTGCTCACGACAGAACCTCATGATCCACAGGCACAAATAGAATAATG